ATGAGTATGTAGTTTAATTTACCCAATTAAGTGTATTTCACTTCCAATCAAAATTCCAATTAACAATTACAATAAAAAAAAGGTCGATGAAAAGATAATTAGGAAAACAACTTGGCAACAATTGAAACATTTTTGCAAACGATTTAGAAAAAACTATGCCTGAATCACTTCTACCTAGCATTAGATATAATAATAATAATAATAATAATAATAATAATAATAATAATAATAATAATTAATGATAATAATAATAATAATAATAATAATAATAATAATAATAATAATAATAATAATAATAATAATAATAATAATAATAATAATAATAATAATGATGTCGTTCAATACAAGCGGGCCAGAGATATTATGGGATAAAGAAACAGTGCGAATTGTTTGTGTGAGTTAATAAAACTCTAAATATATGTACATATATACATTAAAATCTAAGAAAAAGATTTCAGAAAGCTACATACACGTATATATTAAAATTTTCTTAATATGAAACCATAGATACCGAAACAAGTTAATAACAACCATTCTATGTCGGACTAAAACGTGTCGATTTATGTTCGGAGAGATGTCCCAAGAAATTATGGCTGATGATGTAATGAAACATTTACATGTTTATGCAAGTATAATCAATCACTTAAAACTGTAAAATCATTGCTTTAAAAGCAGCTTACATTTATTTAACATCGCTTTTCTATAAAAAGCTTGCATACTTCCAATGCTCTATTAATGTATTAATTTCATTTCGTTTATACGTAGTTTTCAAGCAGTTAGCTGCTTGCCTAATAGTACAGCTTTAACAGTAATATACTGCTATTCTGCATTATAGCAGATAAAGAGCTTAACATTGCATAAATATAAGCGGGTATCCAAATGTTGAACTGAAGTGTTAGTCGTTTAAGATATAAGATGCTATAAACGCCATAAACACCTAGGGTTCCTTCTTTCTACTGTTTACTGTTTTATGTCCACTGCTTGCTTTATACTTATACGGAATACATTCAAAGAGTTACATTATTTAAATGTTCCATAACTAAAGTCCGTTTTCTAAAAAAAAAAACATGTCATTCTTGAAGTTAACAAGAAAATTTTCGATTTAGCTGTTATATAAATAAAAACTGTTATATAAATAAATAAAATCAGAACATAATATAAGCAACAACAGGCTGGTGCATGTATTTGCTTACAGCTTGGAAGCAGTTAACATCGGAACTGCTTGCCGTATATTAACAGGCAGTACAGTTGTAAGGCACATGAATCAAATATTTAATTGGTAAATGTCTTTATCCGTCTAATTATAAGCAATATTTTGTTTTGGCTGCCAACCCAGAGTTAACTTTTAACTATATTTATAAATATATTTATATTTATATTTATTTCAACATACTAAGTATAAACGCCATAAGCTTGGTGGTTCTAAATTTAAGTACAGTTTTGAGACTTTTAGCACTCCAACCATAATAAATCTACTGCTTGCTTTTCATTTATAGGACGTACAGTTAAGGAGTCATATGGTTAAAATATTCCACAGCTGAAAGCAGTTCTCCGAGAAAAATATGTTTTGTTTGTGGTTACGGTGAACTGCTTAAGATATAGAAATATAAGACATAAGCATCCTAAGACATAAAGCTGCGCGATAATATCAACGCCATAAAAACACATGTGTTCCTACAGTTTTGAAACAATTATATTGGTAGCGTTATAAAGTTTAATTTTTATACGTATTACTGTCAAAGATTAACATGAATTAAATATTCCAAAGCTAGATTCCGTTTTCTAAGTAAATACGGCCTGAAGGTCTTAGTTGCTCATTGCAATAAGGAATCGATATTCTTGGAGTTATTCTTGAAGTCAATAAGAAATATTTTGTTTTAGGTGCCAACGCTGTTCCAGATATAATACAATACCATTATAAACGTCAAACACTCAAGGGCTTATGCTTCCTTGCGATTTGGAAACAATAAGACCTGTTACCGTAATGTAACCACTGCTGGTCTAATATTTATTATAAGTACAGTCAAGGAGTCACACAAATTAAATGTTCCAAAGCTAGAGTCCGTTTTCTAAAAAAAATACATGTTATTCATAAAGTTTCTAAGAAATATTTGGTTTTGACTCCTAACACGGTTAGTTGTTATACCCTTGCAGGGTATTATAATTTCAGTCAGAAGTTTGCAACGCAGTGAAGGAGGCACCTCCGACTATATAAAGTATATATATTCTTGATCAGGATCAACAGCCGAGTCGATCTAGCCATGTCCGTCTGTCCGTTTCTACGCAAACTAGTCTCTCAGTTTTGAAGCTATCTGAATTAAACTTTGCAGTTAGTCTTCTATATACTCTCACTCGTATATATGTCGGAACGGGCCGGATCGGACGACTATATCATATAGCTGCCATAGGAATGATCTGAAAAGTTTTACAAAAAAAATTATAACATTTTTAGTTTTCAACAGAATTTAATCAAATTTGAGATATAGCCATTTCATATTATTCTACAATTTTGTGTAAAATTTTATGAAAATCGGACTAATATATCATATAGCTCCCATAGGAACGATCGAGAAATTAATTCAATTAAATTTATAACTTTTTTAGTTTTCAGCTGATTTTCATCAAATTTGAGGTATAGCCATTCTATATAAGTCTTAAATTTTGTGGCAAATTTCATAAAAATCTGACGACTATATCATATAGGTGCCATACAAACGATCGTTTGATGTAGAGGAAAAATGCAAATCTGTGAATGTAAAACTGCAAATACAATATGTATAGGTGAATGAAATGAAAGCTGGTATTACTTCATTGTTTTTTAACACAAATAAATATAATTTATATTGTTGGGATTCCAAGTCATAGAAGTTCTATCTGCAAGGGTATATAAACTTCGGCGTGCCGAAGTTAGCTTCCTTTCTTGTTTAGACATAAAATTAAAACATACTATAACCGCCATACGCTGTATGTTAACATTTGCTTTCAGTTTGGAAGCATTTCGCATGGTTCCATATAAAGGCACAGCTTGCTTAACAATATGCTGTGCTAAACGCCTTTATCCAAGTATCCGTCTGTATTGTAGTTTATAAAAATTGTTTTGCTTAAAATTAAAATCGCACCATGCATTCTAGTTACAACAAATATTTTACTTTCTTACAGTTTAGTAGAAAAAATCTTTTTAGGGTTTATGTATTAGGCTGTTCTTTATGAAAGCACGAATACATTTTACTATCTGTCAAATTTTGTAACCCGCTTAACAATAAGAACAAAAAAAAAAAAACCTCATTATTTATTATAATTTGTATACCCCCGACTTTAGTCAGAAGCTTAAAAAGCAGTGAAGTTTTGGAGCTACATGTCTTTGCTATGGCAGCTTATAAAATTAAAATTAGTATACATTTTAAACCGAAATTCCAAAATCGTACAAAATAGCCATGTCGTAAATCATATACATATGTTGAAAACTGACAAAGTTATGAATTTGTATACCCTTGCAGGGTATTATAATTTCAGTCAGAAGTTTGAAGTGAAGGAGGCAGCTCCGACTATATAAAGTATATATATGTATATTCTTGATCAAGATCAACAGCCAAGTCAATCTAGCCATGTCCCTCTGCCCGTCTGTCCATCTGTCCGTTTCTACGCAAACTGGTCTCTCAATTTTGAAGTTATCTGAATGAAACTTTGTAGTTAGTCTTCTATATAATCTCACTCGTATATATGTCGGAACCGGCCGGATCGGACGACTATATCATATAGCTGCCATAGGAATGATCGGAAAATTTTTACAAAAAAAATTATAACATTTTCAGTTTTCAACAGAATTTAATCAAATTTAAGATATAGCCATTTCATATTATTCTACAATTTTGTGTACAATTTTATTAAAAATCGGACAACTATATCATATAGCTCCCATAGGAACAGTCGAGAAATTATTACAATTAATAATTATAACGTTTCCAGTCTTCAGCAGATTTGCATTAAATTTAAGATATAGCCATTTTATATCAGTCTTAACGTTTGTGTCAAATTTTTGGACGACTATATCAAATAGGTGCCATACAAACAATCGGTAGATGTGGGGTAAAAATACAAATCTGTGAATGTGAAACTGCAAATATAATATGTATAGGTGAATGAAATGAAAGCAGGTATTACTTCATTGTTTTTTAACATAAATATATATAATTTATATTGTATGGATTCCTAGTCATCGAAGTTCTATCTGCAAGGGTATATAAACTTCGGCATGCCGAAGTTAGCTTCCTTTCTTGTTTTTTCTTAAGATTTTCTGATCTATGTGATAATCGTACGATCTGGTCTGTTCCGACTTATTTATTAGTGAGAGAATATATGAATGTAGAAGAGTATTTGCAAAGCTTAATTTGGAAAGCTTCAAAACTGAGAGTAGTTTGCGTAGAAAAAGACAGACGGACATGGATAGATCGCGTCTGCTGGTAATGCAGATCATTAATAAAAATGCTTTATAGGTTCAGATGTGCCTCCTGCCTTTCGAACCTAATACTATACTTACAATACCAAGGGTATAAAGGTAAGAATTTTGCCGTTCTTCAACTTATTTTCTTCTTCTTGGTAACATATAAATTTTTTATTATTTCAGAACTTTGGTTTTATTTTATGAAAATTAGGTACCGACCATTTGAATAATCGATCAATTTATATAAAAAGAAGGAAAATCAGAAAAGGCTCCCTATTTAAGGCGCCTTTTCATTTGAATAGTGTAATAAACAATGCAGTAAACAATTTTAAGTTATTGGGCTGGAGGGCTCTTAAACTAAAATTACTATAATATTACAATAGTTATGAAATTTGTGTATCATTCGCAAATTGAGTCCGTTATAAAAAGCCGTGAACTTATTAAACTCCTCTAATAAATGAAAGCCAAGAGATATATGTAATTACTGTAATTACAACAAATGTGAGCATAGAAATTGTAGGAGGTAAAGCTAAAAGTAAAAAATCCATGATAAACTTACCCAATTTTTCGCCACAGAAAACAAAGTTAGGGGACTGAACCAACACTAAAGTCCATCCTAACAGCACCACTCCCAGCTGAAGAGGGCGGGTGTAAGAGCAATGTCGCCTTCTTTTCGGATACGTCTCCATCACAAAATCAAGGTCTCTGATAAAGAGATCGGCTCCGTAGAGCCTTGTATTGTTCAGCCTCCTGGCTGGTTGCGATCTTGGCTGTGCTCTTCGGCTCGTGTACCTGTACTTGTTATTGGATACAGTTGTGATAAAGAACGCGTTTATTGGTTACTGCAACTGTCAGTATTCACAGCGACCTAGACTGCGTAGTTAAACAACTCTTATAAGATTCTAAGAACAGAATGCTGTGATGCCGATATATACATATTTAAAGGAAGGTATGTGGAACCTGTAATAAGAAACAATTATTTATTATTTTTTTTCTTGGGACTCAGTGGACCAATTAATTAGTACGGTATGTATTTTCATTTAAAAATTAATAATTTTAAATAATTAATGTGGTTTCAATTCAAACTTAATTAAAAGAAAAGGATTTTCGCAGCTGGAGTTGTCAGGTTGCAGTAGCGACATTTGGCTCATATTTATTAAACCTATAAAAACGCATTCTACATTTTAAAAGGCAAAAAGTAAATCAAATACCAATAATAACAAGAAAGTACGCATAAAAAGTATATTAAAATGGTTAAAAATTTTTTTAGAACACAGAATAATTCGTCATTAATTCAAGCCAATACATACAAACATATATTATGATTTCGGTCAGAAGTTTGCAACGCAATGAATAAATAAAAAAAATATATACATAAAGTATAATATTTTTTATCCGCTTGGTAAGGCGTGTCTGCATACGTAAACGGGTGTCTCACAACTTCAGAATAATTTGCACATCCCACCTTGTAGTTGTTATTCTTTTTGTTGGCGACCAATTAAAATGTTGTTTATCTTATATATTGATCTATGCAAAAGCAAGCCGAAAAGGAGTGCGAAAGATAACGGTCTAGAGAACAATGCTAAAAGCAAAAGAAAGTATGTCTCTTTATTTTGGATATACATAAGTTAAAAAATTCAATACCAGCCAATATAAAGCCTTCATCGAATACTATTGAATACTAATATTGAATGGAATTAAATTTAAGGTGAAATCAATTTATGTGTAAATTCGAAATTTCACATGCATCTATTGTTTTACTTCTAGCATTGTCCTATGCACTGTTATCTTTACTTTTCCTTTTCGGTTTGATATCCGAAAAAGTAAATTTTAGGAAAATAGGTCAATAACAACTTAAAGAAGTTTGAATGTGCAAATAGGACGTTGTGCAAATACTTTTGACTACCATTGTATATAAAGGAAATTTTGCAGATAGAATATATTTTTGTCGGAACAGACCTGGTCGGACCACCATATTCACCGTCGCAAAACCGATCAAAAAATTGTTTACAATAAATTATACTCTTCTTGTTATACCCTTGAAGGGTATTATAATTTCAGTCAGAAGTTTGCAACGCAGTGAAGGAGTCACCTCCGACCATATAAAGAATATACAAAGATAGTCAAAAGTATTTACACTTCGGCCATTTTCAGAGCCAAATTTCTTTTAGTTGTTATTCTTTTTGTTGTTGACCGTTTTCCCTGAAAGTTTTCAATTGGTTGGAATTGAGTTTATTAAGCTATATCCAAAATAAATTGACATATTTTCTTTTGCTTTTAATATTGTCCTATGAACCGTTATCTTTTGCTTTCGTTTTCTGCTTGTTTCTGAATAGATCAATTTATGCAATAAAAAAAATTTCATGGAAATCGGTCAACAAAAACAAGAATAATAACAAAAATAAGTTTGGCGGTGAAAATAATTGTGAAATTGTGTAAATACTTTTGACTACCCCTGTATATCTTGATCAGCAGCAACAGCCGAGTCGATCTAGCCATGCCCGTCTGTCCGTTTCTACGCAAACTAGTCTCTTAGTTTTGAAGCTATCTTAACGAAACTTTGCAGTTAGTCTTTTATATTTTTTACTCATATACATATATGTCGGAACGGGCCAGATCGGACGACTATATTATATACGTTCCATAAAAACGATCGAGAAATTAGTAGAATTAAAAATTATAACTTCAGTTTTCAACCGATTATTATCAAATTTGAGATATAGCCATTTTATATTTTTCTAAAATTTTGAGAAAAATTTTATAAAAATCGGACGAATATATTATTTAGTTGCATTACAAACGATCGTTTGTTAGATATAGAGGAAAATGCAAAACTGTGAATATAAAACTGTAAATATAATATGTATAGGTTAAAGAAATGAAACCAGGCATTACTTCATTGTTTTTTTAACATAAGTATATATATAATTCATATTGTATTAGTTCCTAGTCATCGAACATCTATCTGCAAGGATATATAAACTTCGGCGTAGCGAAGTTAGATTCCATTCTTGTTTTTTAACATAATACCATCTACTCAGAAATATGGCAACTTTTAACTATTTCTGAATTACATGATTTTCCCAAAAGCAACATTACCTTTGACATTGATTTTCGTTTTACATCTAATACCAGTTTACGAGAGTTTTTGTTATAACATACACATGAAGGTTCTTAAAAAAAATTAAAGATTTTGAAAAAAACCAACCCGATTCATTCTGATTAACAAATAAAATTGGGATTAATTCTAGTTTTTTGTGGCTTTATGTACCCTTGCAGGTTTGACAGGTAGTGAAGTAGACATTTCCGACCCTTTATTGTACTGACATATGTATATACCCAAGCCAAGTCCGACTGTCCGTTTCCACGCAAACTAATCCCTCAGTTTTTAAGCCACATGTCGGGCCGGATCGGACTTTATAATATATATGGCTGCCATAAGAACGGGTTCGGCAATATTTTCGAAAAAATATTTTAAAATTTCTGAAATAATATTATGAAAATTTGACAAATATATCATACTAGCAGCCCGTCCCGGCTTCGCACGGCATTAAACATTACATTTAGATTTGTCAATTTTAACACATTCATAATAATAATAATAATATGACACATATTCATCCTTTATTAATTTTTTTTTTCAATTATTGAGGTCATAACCCTAAAAGAAAATACATTTATTTTGTTAGAGCTTCTCTGTAAACAATATTTGATGTTTTATTTTGTGGCAGCAAAATAAATTGATTTTCATTGGCTCCGACTCGCGATAGACCAACATACAGTTGACCATGATTAAAACATTTCTTTCGCAGATCAATCCATACTAATTCGAAGGTTTTGCCTTGTGACTTGTTAATTGTTAATGCGAAAGATGTTTTTACCGGAAATTGAAGCCGTTTAAATGGGACTGTCATATCATTTTGGATCATCGGTATCCTCGGTATATGAGCTAGTTGACCACCTGCTGGGCATATTATTGTTAAGAGGGCACTTCTGAATACATCAAGGTTCTGGCAAAATCATCTTCCTGGCATAAGGAGAAGAAGGCAGTCAGAGTTGTCGCTGGCGGATTCAGGACTCTTTCTTGCACATTTCTTTCTGTGAAATAGACACGTTGACCATTCTCCTAATGGACTACCAAGTGAACTTAAGCTGGATAGCGTTCATGAATGTGGAATGAAAAAATTCTCCATGCTGCCTCGTTACTGCTTATGTATCTTCCAGCCTGGTATTGAGATATTTCATCGACAACTCGTACTGCATTGCTGTCATCATTTTCTGCCTGAACACCAAAAACTGCCATATCGCTGCCTTTATTCACGTACTTGCAGATATATTTAATCGATTTCACGGAATTGCAATATTGATGTGCGCTTTGTATGATTTTGACAATAGTGTTGAGTATGGAACCACCCAACGATTGTCTACCTCAATATCACCAATTCTCATGTTTAAATTTGCCGAAGTCCCCTCCATCTTCAGTTGACCGTCTCCTATACATAGGATATCCATCGTCCCCTGTTACGGTGTTTGCTGTAAATGCTCGAGGATATCGCTTGGAACACTTCCCGCCTACCATTCATGGTGAACATGGGTTGAGGGTACCACATGGGCCATGGATCATGTTCTTGATGACAACTTCATGCAAATCCGTATCAACCTCGGCCCATGGAATCTCAGCGCATATAACATCGTCGATTTCGTCTGGAGTAATTTTATCATGCAGCCAAATCAGTATGTGCGCATCCGGCAATCCTCTCTTCTGCCATTCTACTGAATACATCCAGCACCGCACAGATCCAAAAACTCCATGTTTCACAATAAAATCCATCAGTGACTTGAGCTTTTGTCTGAAAACACGGGCTGTGATGTCATGCCTATCCCTATACGATTGTCCTGGAAATAACAGCTGTACTATCTCGTCCCAAGCTGGATTGCATTTGAAGGTGATAAATAAGTCTGGACGGCCGTAGCAACGAACATATGCCATGGCATCTTGAGCATATTCATGCATTTGGCGTGGACTACCTATGTATGAGGATGGCAAAATCGTGAGCTTTCCAACGTTGGTTGTGTTACGGTCATTCATCACAGCATCCCGCAAATGGATATATTCCATATGCATATATGCATATGCATATATGCATATATGCCTGACAGTATATGCAGACCTGATGCATCCGGCCAATAACGACATTCGATTCGAGCTGTAATCAATAGTTGGATTATATCTGATCTTCTGCAAGCTGTAAACGCGCTTCAGCTACCCTTGCCCTGTCGCGTTCATTATTTTGAGAGTGAATCAAATCGATTGCTGCAGAACGCGACTGTCTAACTTTTAATCGTTTTCTCTCAAGCCTATCTGCCCGTCTTTCTGCTGATTCTTCATAGTGCATCTGCATTGCTCTCAGCCGCTCAGTCTCTCGGATGGAGGCCCGTTCTTCGTCAGTCATATTCGTAATCTTACGTCTTTTTGCTTCTGTATTACGCTTACGACGACCCAAACTCTACTTCTTGGGTGGCAGGACTTCGTTTCTTACTGAACCTGAACAAAAAAATAAAATTTTTATCTCCAATTCCTTATTTCAATATGTTTTGAATGTTTGACAGGAAATGCTTTGGCTGCCTGTAGAGGGCGGTAGATGTAAGGTAGTTTTTTGGTTTTTTTTTTAACACCTTTGATTACGTTATCTTAATTTTAGTAAGGATGCCTATTTTTTTTTAAATGAAATATAGCCTATAACACTCAGGAATGATGTAGCTTTCCAACAGTGAAAGAATTTTTCAAATCTGCCAAGTACTTTCGGAGCCTATTCAATACATACAAACAAACTTACATTACCTCTTTATATAATAGTATAGATAGCTGCCATAGAAAAGATCGTTAAATGTATATTTTCGTCTACTTCAACTTCCAACTTCAAAACATAAAATTAAAACCGAAATTTTATAATAATATTAAATATCTCTTTAATGAAAGTATGTTGCAAACTAACAGCTAATAAACTAAAAAATATATATGATATAGTAGTTAGATTTTCATTATATTTAAAACGAAATTCCAGAGTACTACAAAATGGCTTTTCTTACAGTTATCCAATTGTTCCTATAGCAGCTACTTATGTATATAATATAGACGTCCGATTCGGCCCGTTCCGACTTATATACGAGTGACAGTATATAGAAGACTAACTACAAAGAAGAAAGCTTCAAAACTGAGACACTAGACGCACATGGCTATATGAACTCAACAAGTATATCAAGAATATAAGAGAACTTCGATGACTAGGAATTAATACAATATAAATTATATATATTTATGTTAAACAACAATGAAGTAATACCTGCTTTAATTTTATTCACATATACATACAGATAATATTTACAGTTTTGAATTCACAGATTTGCATTTTTTCCTCTATATCTAAGGATCGTTCCTATGGGATAGTAGATTGATTTTCATAAACTATTTCACAAAATTGTAAAGTAATATAAAATGGCTATATCTCAAATTTGATTAAATTTTGTTGAAAGCTTAATATGTTATAATAATTTTTGTAAAAATTTTCCGATCATTCCTATGGTAGCTTTATGATACAGTCGTTCAAACCGACCAGTTCCGACATATATACGAGTGAGAGTATATAGAAGACTAACTAAAAAGTTTCATTCAGGTAGCTTTAAAACTGAGAGACTAGTTTACGTAAAAACGGACAGACGGATAGACGGACATGGCTAGATCGGATCGGCTGTTGATCCTGATCAAGAGTATATGTACTTTATATGGTCGGAGGTGACTCCTTCACTGTGTTGCAAACTTGGGTATAAAAAACTTCCAAAGAACCGCCATTATGTTATTTTAATTTAAAATCAATTAAATTTGTATGTCTCTTCTTTCAAGCCGTACTGTAGTTCTGCTCATTAATCAATTTTTTTGATAAATTTATCATCATAAAACTGATTTTGCATTACAAATAATTGATATTCTGAAAAGATTTCGATAACGCATACTACCATGAGATATGTTCTTTGGTAGAGAAAAGTTAGTAGAGTTTCTTTAAGTCTTGATTTTGAAATGTCCTTAGTAAAAAACTACAGTTACATTTTTTTCCCATGCTAATTTTAATGAAGTGTACATTAATTAGGGTTTTCTAGATAATCAATAACGAAACTCGCATGTATCATCTATGAATGTGAATTTGGAAGCTCTTAAATGTTTTTTTTAAACCATTTGACATTTTATATATAACATCCAATCAATAATTTTGGTAAAATTTTCAGAATATAATTGTGGACAGCCACCTAAAACAAAAGATTTCATAATATTTCAAGCTTTTTGCTTATTTTCGGTTTTATTATCAAAAAGAAAGAATTATTTATTATGTGACTATTACTATATTATATAATTGTTTCATTTAAGCAATATCTTTTGTATATGATATAGCTTATAGTTATCAAAATTATAACTTTTTCAGTCTTCAACAGATTTTTATCAAATTTGAGATATGTACATATATCGATAGTTCCTATGACAGATATGTGATATTGTTGACCGATTTTCAAATCCGAATCTGTGAAATCATACACAAATTGTCATATCTTACTGTGAAAGCTTTATGAAATAGTCCGTTTTTTTTTTTTCATAAAATTAAAACCAAACTCCAAAATAAATAAAAAAAAAATTCTTTAAATTATCAGAGTAGACGGAATTTTGTTAATTAAATGCGATTTTATTTTATTTATTTCCCGATTTTTTCCAATGGAAGTTATCTGATATAGTATTCCGGTCTCACCCCATCCGAGATATGACTAGTATCGGCAAAGTTTTAAACCGATAGCTCCAAAACTAAGAGACTTGAAACTTATAAAAATACATGTATATTTACATACATATGTATGTATATTTGATAAAAAATACTTCGTCACTCGTTGCAAACTTCTGAATAAAATAACATACATACATATGTACATAAACATATGTTTGTACATGTGTCTAAAAGTCAATTAGCATGTGTATATAAATTACCGTAAAAATCTGTAGTGTAATTAATATCCAGTTTTTTTTTTAGGTCCAGTGAATGTTAAAAATAAGAAACTTATCACTAACCACATTCAGGGATATTCAGGATATAATTTTTGCATAAAATCATTTATATGTATTTCGTGGCACTTCGTATTTTGAAAGAACCTTATAGGTTGTGTTGCTTTTTAGTTAACAGCACTCTGGTTTTTTTAGAACTGCGAAATAACTGTTGTTTTATTGTTAAGCACGATATATTTTCATTTTGTATACAAGTATATAAGTTGATTCCAAATTTCATTGATAACTTTTTCCGAGAACTCAAACTTTTGGGTCAAGTTTACCAAATTACTCAATAATTCAAATCGCATTTTCATGGAAATGCGTTTTGTTTTCATATTTTTCCAACTACTTTCACCACTTTTATAATATTTCTATTTTGGAAATAAGTCGGTGAAATTGCTAGCGACCGGCCTAATGGTCATTCAGACTAATGCCAGCCAATGGCTCCACACCCGAGATAGTATATCGGTATTATTTCCTGCGAGAACTGTTTCGATTATTCTATGTCACGGCGAAAATGTTCGACAGATCTGGTAGGTTAGCAGTTCCGTAGGTTTTCAGACTGATTGAGCGTAAGATGCTGGACTGACTAAACACATTCCTGCGTCGGGTTTCAGACGTCAAGAGCCGAGTGGATGATTTCCGAGCGATGGAGAGATGCTGAACCGATGTTGTGGCTTTTAAGAGAACCAAGGATAAAAGCTTTTAGAGCTTGATGAAAAAGTAGTGTCATACCGCTCTAACAGCTCACAGGGTAGTTCAAGCTGAAAGAGCGGCTCAGCTCTATTTGCGCTTTAACAGCAAGCTTCAATGTCAGGGCTTTCTGCGAAGCAGCATCTGCAACGTTTTTGCAGAAAATGGTACATAGTTATTCCGTCTTAAACCATCGCTCTGAGGATACCCAAATTAAAAATTCCTTAACACACAAAAAACTTGTTTACATTAAATAACATAGGGGTCAATGTGATGTAATGTCGTATTAAAGCCAAGCATATTATCTACAAGACAGTTGACAATTAAGTAAAAGTCATTTCAATGTGATATGCTAGGTAAAAGGGTGGGTATGCATCCAAATGCAATATCGGATTAATCTATCCATACACAAACATAAATTCAAGATTTCTTAATTTTCTTAAAAAAAAAATATATTTTATTTTAATAAATTTTTTTCCTAAATTATTATACCTTATTTGTATATCTGTCAACTTGTTATATTCGCTGCTTATTGTAATAATGACTTTTCTGGCAGTGGCTATTAAACTGTGGAGCAATTGCATCTCAATCATTTAAAAATATTTATTATAATTGTTACATACGTTTGTATGTACATATGTACATATATTCTGCCTGTCCGTCCGTTCATTCTCTGCGAACTACAGATATTTTATTAATTTTGTAGATAGTCTTATTTATATTGCTGGTAGTGTACAAATCTGAATGGACAACTACATACATAATAAATGAATAAATTTGTTCTTGTATGTACCTATTTATGTATTACTATTTAATACGCATTTGTTTAATCAATGTACACACAATTTTTAATATTTTTAAAATTATAGTTGAAATTTTAATTTACTCTTGTGTTCCTTTTTTTAATCCTCATATATTTATGTATATATGAAACAGTGGTCTGACCCACGCCCCGAATCATATAAGTACATACATACATATGTATGTATACCCTGCAGTACCTGTCATCAACAATTCATCAACGTTTCATCAACAGTCAAGGGGGTGCTGTTGATTTTTCATCGATGACAGGCCATACAAACCGTTGATTTATTTAACATGGGCATGACCTAGGCTGTCATCAATAAAAATTCATCAACAATAAATCGATGATCCATCAACAATTCATCGATGTTTCATCAACAAATTTCTCAACGGCCGGGCTATGGTACTGCCGTCTAGACTGCCGCCGTAACTGTATCGTGGGCAGAGCGTCGTAGTAGAAGTCGCAGTCGGCAAAGGGTCGACTCGGTAGAAGTCGCAGTCGGCAGAGCGTCGCCTCGGTAGAAGTCGCAGTCGGCGGTTGATGACATGTTGATGACAGTGGCCTATTGATGACACGCGGTACTGCAGGGTTGTGTTTACTCATACAAGCAAGCACATAATAATTTTTAGATTTCTACGCTCTCACCTTTGTGAGAGCAGGTAGAGGGCCATTGCCGTTCGAATCAAAATTTTAAGGCATCTTATAGATTCTAATGTCTTTGATTTACCCTCTCCGTACCGTACTATTCCGTGCTTAATCAATAGGCGTAGGCATGGTAGAATTATACAAGGTAGTCTCGTCGGCAAAAGCACTCCCCTATTCATTACTCACAACAAGTGCGAGTGAGAGGAGTCTGCGAAGTAAGTGCGAGTGAAACGACAAAAGAGCTTTTAGTTTAACCCTTAGATAGTCCATGGGAGTTAAATTGTTCATATATAGTAAAAAGAGTTGAATTTGAATTTGTTTGTTTTGAATTTGAAATTAATCGTTATTTTTGTTTTTGTATACCTATTTTTTTGTTTAAATTCTTAATTTTAAAATATATGCGAATCTCAAAGAAAGATTTTTTTATATCTAAATTAATGTTTATATTCTGAGCACCTATTTCTCCTTAACGTTTTTTGTAGTACTAAAATAATCAGAAACTATATCTAAAAAAACAATTTCCAGCTCCTTAATTTCCTCCCACAATGTCCACTTGGTTAAACATTTTGGTGCTTTTATCAATTTTACTTCATGCACGTGCTTCCGACAGAAATTGCAGAACGACATCTCACACAAGGGTTAAGGCACTGACAAAAAGCCGAACAGTTAGGCAGCCGACGAGACTACCTTGTATAATTGTATCATGGGCGTAGGTATCTTTAGAGTGACCAAAATCTTCCATTGTCGTGCACAATTAGGAGGACACAATGCGGAGAGCGCTAGTTAATACGAAATTCTGATGTTAAGTTTAGTTAAATGATTTTAGAATAGAACCCGTGGTGCTTTTCTATATCACCATAATCGGCCTCGGGCCAGAACTCTTCTTTTTCGAACAGGAACTAGTGATTTGGGAGCCGTTGAAGGCAACTCCACGGGACGCACGACAGGTATCTAACACATATTATTATAAGCTTAAGTTCAGTGAGTTCTATAAATTATTTATGTACATATGTACATATGTATGTGTTGAGCTATTTTTATAGAAAGAGTTTGATAAATGAAAAAAAAACAAATTTTTGGGTAGAAAAATTAGATTGTCTGAGTAGTAAGTATCGCGGGTACGCTGCCTGCAGCGGCCGCAATTTATGTATATGTATATGTATACATATGTATGTATGTACGTATGTTCAAATATTATATACATAGAAGTCGTGGTCGGCAAAGGGTCGACTCGTTAGAAGTCGCAGTCGGCAGAGCGTCTCCTCGGTAGAAGTCGCAGTCGGCGGTTGATGACAGTGGCCTATTGATAACATGCGGTACTGCAGGGAGTAAACAAACTCACATAATGCCCAAAGATCGACACCGGCCAAAGTACTACTTTAGCTTTTGGCCGGAAGACCGTGTACAGCCGGAAAACACTGAATATTTGCATGTATTATATTTATTATTATCTATATATAGTATTTTTTACCCGCGGCCGCACTAAAGAACAATAAATATATATTTTTTTATATTTAGCCCGCATATTATTGTTAAGAGAAAACATTAACAATAATAATTTGCTAACTATTTTTCAAATGCAGATTACTATGTGTCCGCATTAACCTTTGCATCAAAACCGTAGCTGTTCCTCTTGTGGCGTTTAAAATTTTAAATAAAATAAGATAAACTCCAAGTTGTTTTTAGCGTAGTGATGACGCCATATACTATATGGCATATAGGCTTGAGAACATGTTCCCAAATCACTTCCCAAATCAAGCCTACCAAACTGTTTTCGACTTCATTTTCAATTTAAAAAAAATGATTACAGATCACCCTGTGTGTAAATATGATGTCCGCTAAGAAATACTGTCTCCCCACTGAGCTAAAACTCAGTCTTCCATCCAATAGTTGATCGAACAGCTGTGCGTTATCCAAAACACATAAACGTAAACATAAGCATAGACGGTTTAAGTGGTTTCTGCGGATTAAGTTACCAACTATTTTGGACGGTTCAACAACAGAAAAAAACAGATCGTGGTAGATTACGTTGGCACTGTTTTAAAATAAATGATTATAAATGATCTATTAAATTAAATTCTTTAAATGATAAAACAGAGGACAAAAATTAATTAATTCCTCTAAAATTAAAACAGCAAATAAGCAATATTAAGTAGTAAAAATATTAAAAATTTATACAACAAAACGTTATTAAAAACGGAGCAGTTGAAAACGAAATGAAAAAATTTCGTAAAAAAGAAAACGAAGATAAAACAGGAAAGGAAGCTAACTTCGGCGCGCCGAAGTTTATATACCCTTGCAGATAGAACTTTTATGATTAGGAATCCATACAGTATAAATTATATATATTTGTGTTAAAAAACAATGAAGTAAGACCTGTTTTCATTTCATTCACCTATACATATTATATTTGCAGTTTTACATTCACAGATTTGGCACCTATGTTATATGATATAGTCGTCATGAAATTTGACACCAAATTTAAGACTAATATAAAATGGCTATATCTCAAATTTGATAAAAATCTACTGAAAACTGAAAAAGTTATAATTTTTAATTGTATTAATTTCTCGATCGTTCCTATGGGAGCTATATGATATAGTAGTCCGATTTTCATAAAATTTTACACAAAATTGAAGAGTATAATAAAATGGCTATATCTTAAATTTGATCCAATTCCATCGAAAACTGAAAATGTTAAAATTTTGTTTGTAAAAATTTTCCGATCATTCCTATGGCAGCTATATGATACGAGTGAGAGTATATAGAAGGCTAACTACAAAGTTTCATTCATATAGCTATAAAACTGAGAGACTAGTTTGCGTAGAAACGGACAGACGGACATGGCTAGATCTACTCGGCTGTTGATCGTGATCAAGAATATATATACTTTATATGGTCGGAGGTGCCTCCTTCACTGCGTTGCAAACTTCTGACTGAAATTATAATACCCTGCAAGGCTATAAAAATCCGGAGCAGGCCTGCATACATATGTAAGTTTTCATTACTAAATATTTCAAATACATTAAAAATCTTTACTGCATGTTAAAAAAGTCAAAAACAGCTCTAGGCAGTAAGTTTTTTATGATCAACATGATTATTAAAATCGCTTATACAAACTTTGAAGCAAAAATTATTCATTTAAGTTATTAAGTACCAAAATACTGAAATGTTTTACAAAAGTTGCCTGGAGAATACAGAATTAAATATATGGCTACCACGCACACTTTGAGTAATTTCCCTGAAGTACCAGACAACGTTTCATCAACAGTCAAGGCGGTGTTGTTGATGATTCATCGATGAATGGCCATACAAATTGTTGATGAATTTAACATGAGCATTTCCTAGGCTGTAATCAACAACAATTCATTAAAAACTCATCACCAATTAATCAATGAATCATCAATAAATCATCAACGGACGGGTCATGGTACTGCCGACTACTGCCGTCTAGACTACTGTCGTAACTGTATCGTGGGCAGAGCGTCGACTCGGTAGAAGTCGCAGTCGGCGCGTCGATGACAGTGGCCTATTGATGACAAGAGGTACTGCAGGGTCGCTTTTCGCATGATAGTACGTTCATACATGTATGTATGAATGAATGACAAATTATTTGTAGTTTGGTATATTACATTGAAAACTAACAAAAAAATCTATAATCGTGTAAACTCGACGCTGCGATACCTTCTATACGAAGCTTTGTGCATTGAATCTATTCAATATTGATATCTGTTGAAACAATAAAAAACTATACACAAAGTGGCGTCAATAGCCATGTGTACAATGAAATTATGTATGTACATATATTACAGTTCCAAGACAGAGTCTATGTAACAGGCAGAAGGTAGATGCCACCTTCTGCATGTTACATACTTAAGCTCGTATTGAGTCAACTCCGGTTATCCGCCGTTAACGCTTTATTAATTTCACACTGTCTAAGTGCTAAGAGCAGGAGGTAAAGGAGGGCAGTTACCAATCCATCCTAATTAATCAAATCACCATTAGGAGAACACCGGCCAAGATGAATATTTGGCCTACATACGTTAGTCTTCTATATAATCTCACTCGTATATATGTCGGAAGAAGCCGGACGATTATATCATACAGCTGCCATATGAACGATCAGAGAATTTCTAGAAAAAATCTTTTCTAGTTTGCAACAGATTTTTGGTTAAAAATTTTATGAAAATCGTACTACCATATCAAATAGCTGCAATTGGAATGATCGAAAAATTATGTTATGTCCGTACTAATAGACCTGCGGGGGGTGGGTTGCAGGGAAAATCTAGACGACAAATACAATCTACAACCAACAATTTCACAAAAAAAGCTTCACTGCGACCGACTGAAGTATTTGGTAAGCAAAAACAAATAGATTTGGGCATATAGGTATATAAATATGGAATAAATAAATATAAATATCAAGGGATTAATGTGTAATAAATATGCAATAAACATGAAATATATAAGTAAATAAATAATATGAAATAATATATAAATAAATAAAATGCTAAAATCGATAAAAAATGTAACAAATATATAAATATACTAGCTGTACCCTGCCACGTTTCTTTGTGGCATATTGTGGTTAAGAGGGCACTTCTGAATACATCAAGGTTATGGCAAAAGCATCTTCCTGGCATAAGGTGAAGAAGGCAGTCAGAGTTATCGTAGGCGGATTCAGGACTCTTTCTTGCACATTTAGTTCTGTGAAATAGACACGTTGACCATTCTCCAAATTGACTGCCAAGTGAACTACAGCTGGATAGCGTTCATGAATTGGGAACGAAAAAATTCGCCATGCAGCCTCGTTGCTGCTTATGTATCTTCCAGCCTGGTATTGAGCGATTTCATCGACAACTCGTACTGCATTGCTGTCATCATTTTCTGCCTGAACACCAAAAACTGTCATATCGCTGCCTTTATTCACGTACTTGCAGTTATATTTAATCGATTTCACGGAATTGCAATATTCTACGTTGATGTGCGCTTTGTATGATTTTGACAATAGTGGTGAGTATGGAACCACCCAACGATTGTCTACCTCAATATCACCAATTCTCATGTTTAAAGTTGCCGAAGTTCCTCCATCTTCAGTTGACCGTCTCCTATACAGAGGATATCCATCGTCCCCTGTTACGGTGTTGGCTGTAAATGCTCGAGGATATCGCTTGGAACACTTCCCGTCTACCATTCATGGTGAACATGGGTTGAAGGTACCACAAGGGCCATGGATAATGTTCTTGATGACAACTTCATGCAAATCCGTATCAACCTCGGCCCGTGGAATCTCAGCGCATATAACATCGTCGATTTCGTCTGGAGTAAATTTATCATACAGCCAAATCAGTATGTGCGCAAGCGGCAATCCTCTCTTCTGCCATTCTATTGAATACATCCAGCACCGCACAGATCCAAAAACTCCATGTTTCACAATGAAATCCATCAGTGACTTGAGCTGTTGTCTGAAAACACGGGCTGTGATGTCATGCCTATCCTAGACGATTGTCCAGGAAATAACAGCTGCACTATCTCGTACCAAGCTGGATTGCATTTGAAGGTGATAAATAAGTCTGGACGGCCGTAGCAATGAACATATGCCATGACATCTTGAGCATGTTCCTGCATGTGGCGTGGACTACCTATGTATGAGGATGGCAAAATCGTGAGCTTTCCAACGTTGGTTGTATTACGGTCATTCATCAGAGCATCCCGCAAATGGATATATTCCTCGGACCGAAGTTTCGTCTGATTCAATCGAAGGAGCCTGACAGTATCTGCACACCTGATGCATCCGGCCAATAACGACATTGCGATTTGAGCTGTAATCAATAGTTGGATTATATCGGAATGCAAGACGATTGTATTGCAGGTTTTGATCTTCTGCAAGCTTTAAACGCGCTTCAGCTACCCTTGCCCTGTTGCGTTCATTATTTTGAGAGTGAAT